TGCCCCACCGCTGAGTACATCAGGTCCCGGTCTCTTGTCTCTCCAGCAGAGGGGGTAAGAGCACAGTGACAAAGAACACAACTGACCACCATTAGGGTCTGTGCTGTAATTGTGAGTGGCAGGTTATTAAGCATCATTACATTACTGATGCACCGCTTATCGAAACGCCGAACCTGGCTCCCAAACTGTGCCAATCTCCCCGTAAGTCTTGGCACTCATCCTGAAACACTTCCAAGTACAAGAAATTGAATTTCCTCCTTTACATCGCAGCATAAAGATGAGTTGAAATAGGATGAGGCCATATGTGGCCAGATAAAGCGGGGAAATCCTCCAGATACCTGAAAGTAGGCCATGATTGGTTACACAGTAGACCTGCAGTGCGGTACAAAGCTTATATTTTGAACCCTGTCGAGCAGTAAATGACTCTGCGAGTATGTGTGTGCGTGTGTGGATTATGTGTGGTGTTGATATAATCTTATTGTCAGTTAACCCGAGACACAGCGTGGTGTGTTACTCTGCTGATTGACACATTAAAGCGGCACTGAAGATACACCGCGTGCTACTTTGCATGGAAGTTTTGGGAAAAACAGATTCTTTGGGGAAAAAAACCCAGCATGTAACCTCGATACTCCACCTGAATCTCACCCTGTCTCAAAAGTGATGTTCTGTTGCTAAGCAATCAAACTAATTGTATCTACTGGCATCATCCACAAGCCTTAGGAAACTTTAAAAACATTAGAAGGTGCTGGTTTACAATGCCACGATCAGTGTTTATGTGTGTGTGCGCCTCTCGTCTTCTCACACAGTTCGGGAAGCTTTAAGTTGTAAGCAAGAACAAAAAAAATTACAGAGCATTTTGTTTCCCCTCATTCCCTGTGACACACCTTAAGGCTCTTTAAGTTTGCGATGTCTGGATGAATAATTAATGAGGAAGCATGGCAGCTCAGGAGTAAAGCACCAGCTTCTTCGTGCACACTGTATCTGCTCTTCTGTCTTTCCAATATTAGAACAGGCCTGCCTCAGACGACGACTAAACAAAGAAAAGTGACAAGACAAGTCTTACCACCAGGCAAAGGGAAAGGGTGGGAGAATCAGCAGGGTGCAAGCACTGTTGTGTCTGTGTGCGCGGGATGTGTGAGTGCTCGAGAAAGACGAGCGATACCAGAGAGACAGAAACAGACCTCCTGAAACAGTAGAACGGAGGGAACTATAATTATGCAAGTAATTATACATGAAATCACAGACTTGGATTGAGAGAGGGAGAGAGAAAGAGCACTGGAGGGAAAAAGCCTTGCAGTGAGTCTCATCCGTGTAATTGCAGTATAGGAACTAAATGAAACAGAAGGGGAACACACACATTATATTGGACCATCCACCTGTTTTCTCTCAATGTCACACCAGGTCCAGCCAGCTACTTTTAATCTACATCCAGGCTATTGCACAGTAATTCTGTAACATTTCACCACATGGACTTTATGTCTTCATCTTCTGGTTACTGTGGTGTGCTTTATTGAAGATCACTGTGACTTATACCCTGTGTCATTCTGTTCATTGATTAAAGAGCCCGAACCCTCTCGCAGCTCATGATCCAAATAATGAGCACACTGTATCTGCAGCGGGGTGGGGGGCATAAAGTAGCGAGCTGCCCTCGCATTTCACAATAATGACAACTTCATGACTGCATGCGGCTGACAGAAACAGCTCTGTTTCTGCTAACGGTGGCACAGCGCTGTCATACCGCTGCAAAGGAAGATTCCCATTTTTGGAGCTCAGGTGAACGCTTAGAGTTTGCAACGTCGGCATTTTGCCAGCCGGATCAACTTCAGGTTCGACTCCCTTATGCACTAAAAAGCAAACAAACGTAAAGCTTGGA